GATATTTATCAGATGTTAACACACATTCTTTTTACATTCATATGTAAGATACTTTTAATAAAATGAATACATACACATGACCTTTGGTGTTGCTCGCCCATTTCCCCTTTCACTGTATCCACACTCCTTCTTCTCTACCTTCTTTCTCCCTTTCTTCTCTTCCCATATATAGAGAGGTTAGGATGAGAGATGATGATGGTTTTTCCTTATCAGAAAGATTAAGCATGGTTTGCAGTTAAAGCACAATTGATCACATTTGTCTAATATACCACACTATAAATCAAAAGCAAAGGAAAAACATTATTATTTAGCTCTTGTGTAAATTAGGTCACTGACAACTAATTGCCTTAACAATTTATGATTAAAAGACAACAGTTTACATATATTCTTGTAGTAAAGTTGATTTTGTATTAAAAGGATGATATCATGATTCAAATTAGAGACTTGCTTCCTCCTGTTGACAGCTGTGGTAGTTTTGTGTAATGTATCAACCCAGTGACAAGTAGGATTCAGCTGAGGAACTACAGACTGCCTCTTTTCTAGCCTAGTGCAACATCCTAAGTCCCTCTAAAAGCATATTTGGAGAATTAATAAAAAGTATGAGTCATAAAAAAAACCAGTAAACTATTTTAAGGGTTTTTCCTGCCTGTTATTGGATGTTTCAAATCATAAACTGCTTATACCTGATTAATATAATGGAATCAATACCTACAGCAAATTGTTGTCGATACCATTGAATCTAAAAATTGCACTGTTCTCTTTAGCACGCTAAAGCAGTTTTCTTCTCTTACCTTTTAATTTCATTCAACTTTCAGATTTCAAACCTGAACTTTATCTCTTGGGAAATTATTTTGTATAAGAACAGTGTTATCTGTCTGGAAACTTTTTCTGACATTTCAGACATTTTCCTTTCAATGTATTAGGCCAAAATATACTATTTACTATTGTTCAACAATTCATTGTCATGTTAATATATTTTGCTATATGCAGAACAACACTATCCATACATATTTAAACTCATATACGCTTATTATGTTAACCTTGCAACTTCTAGATATTTTGTTGCTCTAGCCTTCATTATTTTCCACTAATGAACTCAGCTGCTGCAACAGTGAACTACTTCATTTAAATAATTCAACAACTTACATAAATAGTCAATAACTTTGCTCACATTCCGTGGTGAATTCTGGGGAGTTTTTTCTACTGTCCTGTCAAGAAACCTAATCCTACTTTTAGAATGGGAGAGAATTAAACATAAAATTTATATGAAAATACCTGAGTGGCTTTCAACAATGGAAGCATTCGCTTATCCAAACTTAATTAACTATGATAAACTTGTTATATATAAAGATATTTTAGATAAAGATGGAAAACTTAAAGACAGGCAAGCTCTTCAACAACTTCTTATTGAACTAACATGGTGGTCTTACTTGCAGATTCAAATAAAATATGAGAAAGATGTAAAATTAATGGGATTCTACAAAGAACAGACACCATTAGATAAAATACTCTTAAAAACAGACAAAAATCTGATCAAGAAACTATAAATTTTTGTTAAGCTGGAAGACGGAAGAAGAACAAGTAAAAAAAAAAAACAATGATAGTGTGGGCAAGGAATTTTGGGTATTCCATAGACTTAGAAGATTGGCAAAAGCTTTGGGATTGAAATATTAAACTCACTAAAGCAGCTGCATATAAGGAAAAATTATACAAAATGTTTTATAGATGGCATATGATACCAGTTAGATTAGAAAAAATCTTTAAAAACGTATCAAATATTTGTTGGAAATGTAAACAAAAACCAGTCACTTACTACCATCTCTGGTGGATATGCCCTAACACCAAGAAATTTTGGCATAAGATTCATATGTGGTTAGAAAAGATGATGAAAATAAAGATAGAATTTAAACCGGAACTGTGTTTGTTAGGAATATTAGGATCTAATTATGGAAAGGAGAATGAGTATCTAATCTTACATGTATTAACAGCTGTGAGAATAGCATTTGCCCAATTCTGGAAAAATGAAAATCTACCATCTGACCAGATTATAATAATAAAAATACTTGAATTGCTGAAATGGACAGATTAACTTTAGAAATGAAAGAGAAGGAAGACTCAATCTATTTTAAAACATGGGATAAATTTTACCAATGGATAGCAACACGATAGAATGAGAAAAGTTTATGGAATTTAATGGGATAATTGTTATTTTGTATTTAAATTCTATGTTTATTGTTATGAATTCTTCTTCCCCTTTCTATTTGTGATTTTAATAACAAGTAATTATAACTAATAAGTAATACACCAATATGTTAATATTATTATGATTAATTAGCAATATATTAGTAATATTATATTAAGTATGGTTATTTTATATTAATTATTATGAGTGAATATGTATACCCGGACGGGTTTATTTGCTAAAGCGTTGACTTATCGTGGGGATAACCCCACTATTATACCTATCCCTTCTCCTGGTCTAACCCTTTTTGTTTGTCCTCCTTTATTATACCCCCATTGACCCCACTTCCCCTTTATCCTTATAAAATCGAATAAAATTATCTATCTATCTACCTATCTACCTACCTATCTATCTATCTGTCTGTCTGTCTGTCTGTCTGTCTGTCTGTCTGTCTGTCTGTCTATCTATCTATCTATCTATCTATCTATCTATCTATCTATCTATCTATCTATCTATCTAAAAGGAAACCTCCTAATCCTTTCTGTTTCTTCAAATGATTTTTTTTAAATAATATTTTAAGTACATGTAATTTATGCTATTCAGAATGAAATACTATTTATCATTATTTTAATACAGTTTATGCCTAATTTATGCAATAAGCTACCCCATTTATTTATCTTGGAAAAAAACTTGATTTCGTGGCACATAATCAATAGCTTACATTTTTTAAAAATGCATAAATAGTAGGTATGTAGTGGCTGGAAAACTGATTGAATTGGATTGAATTACAGCAGGAGTGGGCAATTAACTTTCCCAAGGGGCCACATGAGAAACTGGGACTGTTGTGGATGGCCACCACAGCCCCGACATGGCCCTCTGCTGCTGCAGCACTTCTGTGGCCCACCCGCTGGCCCCCTTTATGACATTCTCTGCCCCCCCCCCACTGCAGGCTGGACAGGGACAGTCAAAGGGCTGGACATTGCCCAGAGTCTGTAAAATGCCCAGGTGTGAATTAGAGGCTTCTTAGTTTGGCTGGATGTCTGATTCAAGGAAAGATTGAGGCCTTTGATTAGGTAGGGCAGAAGAAATTCAAACTTTTTTTTTTAAATGATGTTAAACACAATAGAATAAAGTTGTAGAGACGAAGTAATGAAAAAAAGAAGGGTGCCCAGATTTTGAAAATGCATACAGGAATTTGGAAGTATGATGCTATAAATTTTGACTTTGTAGACAGAATGCAATTTATTTATTATTTATTTTTATTTGTGAGACTTATATACCACTTTAAGTGCAAGCACTCTCTAAGCGGTGTACACCAGTAAGCAATGTATATATATATATTTACATTGCCCCCAACAATCTGGGTCCTCATTTTACCTACCTCGGAAGGATGGAAGGCTGAATCAACCTTGAGCCGGTGAGATTTGAACCGCTGACCTGCTGAACACAGTCAGCTAAAGTGGCCTGCAGTACTGCACTCTAACTGCTGCGCCACCTCGGCAATGACATTTACTGGTCCACTAGACTAGTTAAACTAGTGATACTCAATCACTAATAAAATAAATATTTGCTCTATGTAAAATTCACCTTTAACTTCAGAAATGAGTTAACCTGCGACTCGGTCTACATTCCAAGATCACAATGCCCAAATCTGGAAACACAATGGCAAAGTTAGTGAAAACCTGAACGAATGAACTAAAACGATAAATCAGGACCTACTGCAATATTTCTGCTTATTTCAAATGCTACATGCAGCGATGCTTGAGCTGAGGACTGGAACAGTCAGGGGATGTATAACGATTGTTTTCAACTTCTGACTTGGTGTCAAGTCTTCCAGGATAACATATAAAGATGGCTCACCCAGCCTTTGGGGCTTCCTGTAATATTTCTCTACCACCCATCCCGGTTGTATTGTTACAAGGCTCCACATGGAAGCAGTGGTGCTCAAGTAATCCTGCCTGTTTTTCCTTCAGGAAAGACTTGGAGCAGAAAAAGGCTCTTTCTTCTCCATTTATCAAGCAGGCTAGGAAATGAAACTTGTCCTGAAGTGTCTCTTGATATCTGCATGCAGTTGTGCAGTATTACTTTTAGAAGAAGTGAAGACAACTTGAAAGCATTTTTGTAATAGAATCCTACGTATGTTAACTCAAAACTGATTTTTTTAAATCTGATTTGTTCCTAACATAAAGTCTGTTGGATATTAGTCTTTAATTGTGTTAATAATTAAGGTTTGGGTACAGTTGATATTTTCAGAGATACAGAGATATAAAATGACAACTAATTGATCATACATATTTAGATGAAATATTTGAGATTAAAATTTTTTTAATAAAATAAAATTTGTTATTTTTTTTTTAAATACAGCTTTTTGGAGGCGAGGGAGAGGAGGGAGGGAGGGAGATATAGATAGATAGATAGATAGATAGATAGATAGATAGATAGATAGATAGATAGATAGATAGATAGATATGCTGGATTTTCCAAATAGGAAAAGAACCTGCACAGAAAATAGTTCAGCTGCAATGATCAGAATTCCAATTATTTTCCACTAATACAAGGAGTGATTAGTATAAAAATTATTCAGGTGCTGAGAAACAGCAAGAAAGAAACAATCTGGAAATTGAACATTAGAGACAGGACATTGAAAATATTTAAAACTCTGATTACTTCCTAAAATACCTAAGAGTCAATTACCTAATATTTACTTTTGCCTGCATTTTAAACAGAAGTCATTTAAAGCAGTTCTCCAGTAAATATAATCACCATGCCCCTGCCCCTCCATTTTGGCTTAATATTACAAGAATACAAACAACAGAAATAATAGAAACAAGTTTTCTTTATTAAACGTAACTGTGGATCTTTTGCAGTCCTTAGTTCAAGTTATACTGCAAATTATTTAGCTGGATTTTATGATTTCTGATGTATGCTGTTTGAAAATTGTATTTCATGAACAATACAGTATATTTCAGTTTTTCTACATACTGAACGCAAATTAGGTACATCAAAGCATTATGCAACGTGAGTGATAGATACATGTAAAGGTGCAAAAAAAATGAGGTATTGTACATTACATACATTATCATGCAATATGCCATTAAAAATAAAGTCTCCAATATTTGTAAATTAATATTATTTTAAATAATTTTTATTCTAAAATGGTTTCACATTTCCTCCCCCCCCCATCCTGTGGGATTTCAGATGAGTCTGAACAGTGGTCATACCACATGTATTAAAAATATCCAGGAGACAATTATAAATCTAATGGTTTTGTTTCTATAAATTGATGTGGTGATTACCTCAGCTCCACATGAAACTTCAAAATTTGCTAAGGGAAGTCTCATTTTCCTGAAACTGAACAGAATGTACATGCTATGGGAGGGTAGCAGGGTGATTTAAGAGGAAGATTGTTGTTTATTTCACTAGCTCATGAAACAGGACTGTTATAGGAAACTATAAAGCTTCATAGCTAAACATTTTAGTAAATTATGTTTCTTTCAAGCTTTCTCAAAAGCTCACTAAACGAATAAGTCATTCCAGATGTACTGTAGGGCAAATATCCCTATAATATACTTGCAAAATGTTAAACACATTGAAACACCAACACAGGTATTTCAAACACATTGAAACTGTTCCTGTGTGCAAAACCATTACCCATTGGGTGTAATATTCATTCATGGGCCAGTGTTATGGGTATATTTGTGCTTCTTTTGCTAAAGGACCCACAGCTCTGCAATGCTTCAATATTGGGCAGAGGATAAGAAGACATCTGCAAATAATTTCTATTGAATGGTTGTAACAGCATCCTGTTAAGGTTTACATTCTACTCCTAAATCCAACCACAGCTTCACAGTTTTTAGATCTTCCTGTGCAATTCCTTTAAAAGAAATGTTTCACAATGCAGATGAGCTTATACTACACAACTCTTGCTCCTGTGTCTTTGAAGTGCCTCTTCCAAAGGATTTGCAAAGCCCTCCGGCTTCCTGCAGAAATTAGAAGTCCGCAATCTGAAATGGATATTTCCATTTTTTTTCCACCACCTCTCAGTTTATATTTATTTCAAAAATTTTTTTCCACAGCCAAACAAACAAGTGACTTTTCACATATCAGAGTTTTTCTCTCCAATATACTATCCCTGCTTCTGATAGCGAACTTTTTCTTACAGCTTGGGACAAAACACTGGGGAATTTTTGTAGTATGCCAGAGTAAAAATGTTAACATTTTAAAACTAAAGCATTTATACACATTACATGAAATATATATTACAGTGAAAGACATTATTTTCCAGTGGATTTTCAGAAATATATTCATGAATAATTTTTCAACTCACCCCTGGTGCTTTAGTTGAACAAAACAAGGTAAAAGAATGCCCTTATAAATATTGACTATTAAGCATGTCAATAAAGCAGGTCACATAGTTTATTTAATAACTAGTCACACAACTTATCATGTTTTTCACTCGGGATTGGGCATCCAAATGAAAAAAGATAAGCCTGCCACATCAGTGATAAACAGAAGCAAGAGTCCACTGTCCTCTGACTTCTATATCAGGGGAATTACAGCATTTGTAATTGTTGTAAAATAACCTAGCATATTTTTTTCAATTAAAAAAAAATCAACATTAGCAACATATAAGGTTAATATTTAGTAAAAAGAGGTAAATAATGAGCTTTAATAGGGAACCTACTTTTATTTATACACAAAGTGCTGTTTTTAAAGGCTAACTTATTCAAAGAATTAACCATGAGTCTAATTATTTATTTGATAAAGAGAGAAATTTCATGTTAAGCAGTTCATGAAAAAATTATGTGGTTGAATTTCATCACTGGAGACTGCTGGTTTTAAATCAAACCTGAATTACATTACTACACTAACTATTCAAACTAAATATCTAGTTGTCCTGGATCTTTAGGTAGAACTTCAATTAAGTAACTAATTGTAATTTTGACTGATCTAGCTTTTGCCTGCAACCACCACAGTAAATTTCACAAACACAAATCAGCATATTGACTTCAATGGACTGTAGAAAGTTTGCTATCAGTCTTGTAAATTAATGACTCCGATGTAGACTCAAATCAAGCAATAAATATATACAAGTAGATAAGTGGTAATAAAGAGTGGCAGAATAAAGAACTATCAGCTAAGCATGCAATAATGTGTATCTAATTTGGAATATTCAGACTTCAGCCCAACTGACAAGAAAGTCAGTTCTTGATAGCTGACAGGTTCTGTTTCTGTTGCCATTAAATCTAAAAATTCCAGTTTTATTGCCATCTAACATGATATTTCACAAAATTTCAACTACTTAATGATTCCATGGAGATTAAGTATTCGACAATTCCACAAAAAACCTATGTTTTAACTTCAACCTATGTGAAAATGTATGTTGTCCAATGCTAATTTATCTTCTAATTGCAGATATCACAGATATGTAACAAGAATAATTCAGAAATCAGAGATCAATGCCTAAGTATTTTTATGATTAAGTCTAATATGGACAAAAAGTACATAGATTCTGAGTAAGAATGAATGTACAAATGTTGAAAGAAATCTACCAAAATGGACTTTTCTTTTGGTCAAGATCATAGATTCTGTGAAAGTTTAGAGTCCAGGAGTAGTCAACCTTGGCTCTTTTATGACTCGTGGACTTCAACTCCCAGAATTCCTGAGCCAGCTAAGCTAAGCTGGCTCAGGAATTCTGGGAAATGAAGTCCATGAGTCATAAAAGAGCCAAGGTTGACTACCCCTGGTTTAGACCTTTGGAGGTTGCCATCCCTATCAGGAGGCATTATTTTTCCAGTTTTCTTGAAAATGACCTTTTCTGATTCATGACTTTCTCCTTAACTATATATTTATAGGGACCTTAGTTTTGAAATACACTGTTATTGAAGATCAAAGCAGATACAAAATAACAACCCTCACAAAATTATTCACACTGCATTGTTCATTTAAACCTGGTAAACAAGGATATGCATTTCCTTTCCTGGGGTTATCACTGTTTTTCATTCTGAATATGTTGGGAGAAAAATTGCCTGGGTGCATCAATACTTTGTAATATTTGGTTTTCTGAGCAAATTGCAGTAATAAAATCATTTCTTCCTTATAAACCTAGCTCTTGAACAGGAATACATTGCTTAAATTAATCAAAGGAACAGACTATGTGCCGCTTGATGAGCTTTAGCAGATTTTTTTGAGGTTACAAAAATCTCAATGTTAAGAGCAAGATTAACCAAATATACATTTATTTACAAACTGTTCTTTACAGATTTCCATTTAATTTCTCCAAGAAGAAATGGCAAGTCACCTTAACTATATCTATACTTATTTTGCTATAAATACAAGAAAAACAATCTACATATTTCACTAAAATGTTTTCAAAAAGCGATTTTAATAACATTACTACTCGTAAACATTTTATGAAGTGAAGGGGTCATCTGTTTATTAAGACACTTCAATTTGTCTTTTCAAGGGAGCAGCATCATGACTTCTATACGTTCTGTAATTCCTATAGAACCAAATAGAGCATATCGTGGCAGAGTGAAGAGTAAATATACATTTACAACAGGGGTCTTCAAACCTGGCCCTTTTATGACTTGTGGACCTCAACTCCCAGAATTCCTCAGCCAGGCACACTGGCTGAGGAATTCTGGGAGTTGAAGTCCATAAGTCATAAAAGGGCCAAGTTTGAAGACCCCTGATTTACAACAACAATCTACAATCTATATACCTGACAAGTCAGTGTTACATTTGCTACCTGCTGTTCTTGACCGATTCTATGTGCCCAAACAATACATTAAGTGAAAGGAGAAAATCTAGCTGGATTTAAATTCCATTCTCCAAATTATGCTTAGAACATTTATGTACTTTCTATTGATATTGTGGGGTTCATTTTCTGTCAAACACTAGCTGATAAGCAGATTATGTGAATGAGACTGAACAAATATACTTTATCCATGTGAAGAAGCCATTTTGTGCATGTATAATACCCAAGTAGGGCCCAAACCCATGAAAATATGAACGAGGGCAACTTGTATTGTTAAATGAAGGAATCTTATTAAAATTAGATCAGAACAGTCAATGCAATAGCTAAGCAGCTGCAATAGCACTAAAAACTGAACACGAAAGACTGTATGGTAATATTGTAATATTGCAAAACTGCTTTCTTTCAAGATTTCAAACATCGAAAGGAACAATGCTGCTATAAATTATCCTAGCTGACAGAACAATTGTGCACAACTCTTCAAACTCTAGATATCCAATGAAGTGGAACCAGCAATATTCTATGATGAAGGGGGGGGGGAGGAGAAAGGCCTATTATTTAGCTGGCAGTTTGTTTGAAATCTCAGCTGCAGCTGTCAACTCTGTTGAAAAACAGGCTGGCTACTTGAGTGTCTAGAAGCTCCAACTATGTATGGGGTTCCTCTTTTCTATCCATATACCTAGGGCAGATCATAGTATTTCCAAGTGAACAAACGGAAGCAAGAAGTAAATGATACAGAATCTTAGTTAACTGACCTGATTATTCAAAGTGCCTAAGGAAATAGCTACATTGTTTTCAGAGCTTGATAGTTCCTAAATTCCTACCTATGAATTGAGCGTGACAAATAAAAATTCATATCCACATGGAGTGGAAACTTCTGACAAGGGCTTTCCTTTTCTCTGGCTTAAGAGTAGACCAATAAAGTAATTAAGAATCTGCTTCTCCTTTCCTAATATAGTGATGTCATTAAAAGTGGATGAAATATTTCAGCATATTTTTTTCACTCTGGGAAGTTCAAGGAATTAAAGGAAGTGTATGTTTTCATTTCCATCCTTAAAATTGTACCTACGCCAGTGGTGGTGAACCTATGGCACGGGTGCCAGAGGTGGCACTCGGAGCCCTCTCTGTGGGCACACGTGCCGTTGCCCCAGCCTTGCTTCCCCCTGTGAACCCACCAGCAACCCCCCTAGAGGAGAGTTGCCCCTGAGCGTGGCCCAAGCGGAGCAGTGCAGCCAAGGACATGGCAACCAGGCAGCGTAGACAAGGCTCTGCCCTCAAGCCCCAACACACACAGTTGATACTGCAGGGCGCGGGCAAAGAGTGTGGCTGCCATGGCGATCTGCGGCAGGCCCTGGAGGTGGTGAGTGGCCCTGAGGGCAGGCAGGGTGGGGCAGAGTGGGCCAGGGCAGGGGTGGAGCAGGGCGGGGCAGGGGATGGGGCAGGGCCAGTTTTTGGGCACTTGGTCTCTAAAAAGTTCGCCATCACTGATCTATGCCAAAGGACACATGAATCAGCCATTTTGCAACTAAACTCAGCTGTATAATCTTGCTTGCTGTTGCTCCACAAAGCTCTCTGCCATTGGCAGACTCCCTATCCCTTCTTGCAAGGGACAATTCATAAAACATTTGCAGTAATTAATAAGTGATATAATAAATAAACAATAACCACTTAGTTTTCTGTTGGCAAAAAAACAGCATTAATAAAGCTCTGTCCTGGCATCTATGAAAATTGAGTTGTATAACACATTTAAACCATAACATGGTGGCACAGTGGTTAGAATGCAGTATTGCAGACTAAGTGTGTGGACTGCTGGCTGCCAGTAGTTCGGCAGTTCGATTCTCACCAACTCAAGGTTGAGTCAGCCTTCCAAGGTCAGTAAAACGAGGACCCAAATTGTGAGGGGAAATATGCTGACTCTGTAAACTGCTTAGAGAGGGCTGTAAAGCACTGTGAAGTGGCATATAAGTCTAAATGCTATTGCTATTATTATCTATGGTTGTATATGTGGTTTGTATGCATTAGCTATAATCTATGATTAGATAGGAAAGATAAAATTCAGCTCACAATTTGCTGAATTAAAAAAAATGCACTTTATAATATATCTATATTGTTCTTTAGTGCAGGGTCCCAACCCCTGGTCTGTGGACCATGACCGGTTTGTGGCCTGTTGGCAACTGGTCTGCACAAGCGAGGCGCACACTTGGGATTAAGTTGAACATGCAAAATCATCCCCTCCCCCCTCGATCCGCAGATCCAGAAAGATGGGTGACCGCTGTTTCAGTGCAGAGATATCCACTGGTATCTCTGCACTGGATACCTATTACAGAGATATATACTAAAATGCAACGGGCCATTTACTTTTGTAGAAATAGTTATAAAACTGGCAAAGAACAATGTCTTTTATCACAGCTAATCGCTTCAAATTGCATGTCTTTTTAAAAAGTCCTCGCATTATTTCCAGTGGTATGTAACTAAAGCTAGATCTTTTGTAGGGGAAAAATAGTAACAAAATGCCTAGAAAACCCGAACCTCAACTCCTTGAACATTTATCAATTGCTAAAAAGCAAAGAGAGAAGTAGTGGAGGAAATGGGCTGAGGACATGGTTTCTCTCTCACCTTCTTTTGCCCATTTGGCAGCAGATGGCAATATTATATTAGTGATGGGATGTCAAGAAATGCACCTGCATTATTCTCTAACTAAAACCACAGGATATGGTTTAGTCTAGATGTTTCTATGCAAAGTTTGCAGGCACCTGGGAAAAACATGTTTCTCAGCAGAAATAGCTTCCACTGCAGCAGACATTTTTGTGGCCAGGAAAATAAGGCAAATGAAAAAGGAGCAGCAGTTAGAATGCTGCAGCAAAAAATGTCTGGGCCCATTCTGAGCCTGTCCTGAAAACTAAGCTATTTTGCTAGACCATTTTCTTTAAAAACAAAAAAACAGAACCCCCAAAATAAAACATTCTGATGGTTGGGATAGAACTAAACATGGCTTTTAGCTCTCCCTATTAGGAATAGCTCTTCCCATTAAAGTCCAGGTCAGACTATCCTATGAATAAATTAAATGACACTTTAGAATTTCCCAGTGTTTCAATTTTAGTTGGTAATTGCTTTAATTTCCCCTTTCCTCATTCTTTCTTTTGGGGGGGGGGAATTAGAGTTGTTCCCTAATTTTACTTGTAGTAATTCACATAAAAAGTGGGTGGCAATTTACCACTTTTTAGAAACAGCTAAACTGAAACTATTACTGCCTAGGAATATTATGAAAATTTCATATCTTTCACTAATTTTAATAAAGTAAAAGCAAATAAAAGGTTTTTCGTGTTCTGAAAAGCACACCAAATATAATAACAGGGAATTTATTACCAGTTCCAGCTATTCACATGGAGATTAAACAAGAATTGCATAGGACCCCAACACTGTGCTCTTACATAGCACTAATTAATTTTAAGTGGTTCTTGAACTAAAAAAGTTCCCAGAGAATTCCTTTCTTTACAGTATCACGCATCATATACACATTAATCTTCAATAGACTTGGATAAATATCTTTGTACATAGTTGTTCCAAGCTTCTGATCCAAGGACTGGATGTGAGTACGACCTTTGCTTGAAGTTATTTCTCAACTTCAAATTGTATTTGAAATTGGTTCTAAACTTGTTTTGCTTTGAGAGAGTTTTCCCCCCTCCAAAAAATGGAAAAAAATCAGCTGCATGCAAATATCTTATGTAACTATTTTAATTGCAGCCAGTTTTGAATTTAGCTCTTTAACAGTCTATTTGTACCGCCACTCAAATACTCGGGAAACAGTACTTGTAATACAGAATAATATATACAATATTAAGCATGGCTAACACAGTCTTCATATAATAAAGTAACTGAAGGGATAATATTGCTTGTTGTTACCTTTGTTCCTTAAAGTGAAAACTTTCTAGTAGAAATAGTCTGACTGCTTCCTTATAACATCTTCTCAATCTATCAATGATAGATTCAATGTAGAATTCTCAACCACAGTAGCAACTCATGTAAGCCACTGTTCCTTTTCTTTGCTATATTTTTCAGACCACTTGTGAGTAAGTTCCAGATAGATATTTGGCTTATGAGGCTGATAATCCAGGTAAGTTGTCACATCAGTCTTTTTAGGAATGGCCTTTTCAATCTGAGTCCCTTCATGCCATTCGTTGAAAGAGGTGATGGAAATGATTTCAGGTCGTACTAGAAGCGCAGCACTGAAGGCCGTCTCGTAATATTTTCCGTTGACACGATTGCGTGTGTTGTGATTGTTCCATGGTCGGATGCTGGTGTCTATGTACCCTGGGCCCACACTTGGAATAAACATTAAGTTTTTTATGTCACAGAAAGCTTTCAAACTGGGCCAGTTATGATGGCTTGAACCATAAGAGAAACCATTTGTGGCAAAATAGGTGTAAATCCCATCAAAGCCACTTCGGTGGATTTCATGTTTATGTTTTTCTTCTACAAGAAGAGCAATGAATAAGCTGTCATAGGGTGTATTACGTATACTTTGAGATCCTGATACCGTGAGCAGATTTGCCCACATTTCTGGAATTGTGATGTAAGAATCATAAACATAGAACATGGGAAGGGTTCTACCTGTACTGACTTTATGTCTGTAAAAAGCTGGATGGCTTCCATATCTAAAAGCAAACAAGCAAAAAAAGAAAGTGAATGTTCCATATATATTTCTAATAGTTTTAAAAATTACTCTTCCTGCCTCTCAATTATATTTTATTTCAAGTGTCATTACTAGCATTACATAGGTCTTTAAACACAATTAACTGCAACTCAGCAAAACAAATTTAATAAATTTAGCCTTATTAGGAAGATAAAATTACTAAATTGCTCTGCTTGCAATCCCATATTTGTTGCTGCATGACACAGTAACAAAAATGACAACAATGACATTAAATATTGTGAATTTGAACAAAAAGGATGGGAGTTCAGGTTATTTTAATGAGAACTGTGTTTACTGACAAGGAGTCAATGTTCAATTGATAAACCACCATGAAACATATAGATAATATGAGACAGAATAAAATTATGATAGTGATATTCAAATATTGCACCAAGTTCTTACTTGTCTATAATATACTTGACATTGTTGTACATGCTGCGATCATCTCTGTCTTTATATGGCTCAATATGGAAAGTGACCTGAAACATAAAAAGGATTTTTTTTTGTTAAAAAAAATGGAATGTCTCAAAAGAGCAAAGAATCTTGAAGTCAGTAGCCTGTATCCTCCCCTCTGTTTCTGAAGAATAGAAATTTTATTTGATATTTGCATGTAGTAGAAAAAAAATGGAAAAGAGGGGGGGAAACTAAAGGGAGAGAAACTTTTAGTTCTTTACATGGGAATAGAGTTTGTCCTGTTGTCACCCAGCACAGATTGATTAGAAAATGGAAAGCATAGCCATCTGATACAAACACAGAATAAAATATCAATTTTTTGCTTTATACATTTATTTAATTTCTATGGCCACCATTCTCAAATAAGTGACTCTGGACAGCAAACAATCCTAAAGACAATTAAAAACAATTACAGTATAATGCAACAATATATATGGCAGCCATTATTAACTAAACCAGGACAAAAGAACTGGCAGATGACACCCAACAGAAAGTTAATAGCTCTTTAGTACTAAAATTGTGTTTTCCTTTGCTGAAAAATCCCCTAAAGACAATGCTGTAATGTTTTAAATTTGCCCACCGAAAGAGCAAATATAAGCGCATTGCCAACTCCAATCTGAAGAGCAAATTTAAATGTGACAACAGTGAAAAGGGAAATGTGGCTGGAATTTCAAATGATCAAGAATCTCACTGTCATTGCTATTTATGATTCATTCTTCAGGCGTAACTGCCCAATAGTTTCAAAGCCTTGTGCAAAACTGTTGCGGCACTGAGTCACCTAATATTAAATTCACTTGATAATTATTTTATCAGAGGAAATAGCAATTCAAGAAGTTAATGTCTCCAGGAAAAAAAAATATGTATTGATTTGCAAGAAATGCTTAAATTATTAAATCTTCAGTTTTAATTAGTGTTGGGATCAATTTTAGAGTTTGGGCAGCTCAAATTATTAAATTTTCCAGTTCAGCAATTTATACCTGAGTATGTAACTGGATTTACCTTATTAGCAAATAATTTTCCCCAACACATCTGCCCTGCCTCCCTAATCAACCTTATCCTTGAAAGGAAGAGATACCTGGCAATAATGACAATTTACTACTAAAGAGGCTATGTTGACTATTTCTTCACACAGTTTCTAGCCATCATACATGTGGTTTATCTTTTACTCAGAATCTGGGACAGAACAGTTTCGTCTCCAATTCTGGGTTGAGAAAAAAATATTTCAATAATATTTCAATATTTTAATAATCTAATTATGCTTAGGTTTAAGGAATCTTGGATTACTCAAACATTTTTTTAAATTTTTGCATTTTTTTTAAAGGCAGTCATTATTTTAGTTTTGATTGAGGACAATTCTTTTATTTTCAAAAGAATTAGAAGGCACTGTTTCTAAGGCCAAATTATGGGATGGAAAAAGTTTATGTATTTTAATTTTATTTTATAATATGGATTAGAAAATAGAAATCTGTCTCACACCAAGCCAGGTCATTGGCTTACCTAACACAATACACTCTGGGCAAATCTTCAGGATATACTGGGGATGTTTGATTCAAAACATGTATCACAAGCCCAATTTCAATAGGAAATTATAATATAATATTTTCAGAATATTTATAGAAAGTATAATAAACTATACTTTTATGTAACAAGGCACAAAAAAACTGTGTGTTCGGTTTGTAGCATACCACTGGAATCCTGTGTATATATTACTTATTTATAAAATTTACAGATTGCCCCAATCTGTACAACTCTGGGTATCTTATAGGATACAAGAATAAAACAATAAAGATGCAGATATAAACCAAAAACAAATCTGGAGAAAAAGAGCAGTCAGTTAAGTAATCAAAGCAAAGGGTTATAAGTTGCATCTCAACTCGAAAACAAGTTCCGCTAAATTAAGTGTACGTTTATATTTATCTCAGGATGTTTGCTTTGGATTAAAGGTGGGGGTTAATTCTGAAAAGACGACTTACAACTGCTTCAAGTAGCTTTCTAACTAGACTGGAACAAAACTAAAATTCATTTAATAGATAAGACTGTCTCACAATCAGTCTGAATATATTTAACTTATAGAAGGTAACAACATTGCACTTGGCCAACAGTTGTTTGCTGAAATAAATTATTGATATATAATAATAATAATAGTAATAATAATATAAATATGACCACTGAGAACTAGTCCAATTGAGTTCAATAGAATTTACTCTGAGAGAAGTGAATATAAAATATCAACACATTTTGTTTCTATAACAATGCTGACTATTTTATTCAACTCATTACAACTAGTTTCTACAAATCTGAAATTTTAAATACTATACCTTTAATTTATACTTGTGTGCAATATCCAAAATTATAGGCACAAGGCCATCAGTGGGCTCTCCATTTTCATCAGCCATAACAGGTGGGTACCAGGAAAGAGCCAATACCCCTAAGAAATAAAACATATATTATTATTATTATTATTATTATTATTATTATTATTATTATTATTATTATTATTATTATTATCGATCATCGCACAGTCAGCCAGATGTTCAGACTGGATTTGGCATTTTGTCTACCTATCGAGTCCTTACCCAGGACCTGGGATAGGCAGATGTGGATGTTTGATGGTATTACAGATATCGTCGCAGGATGGAAGCAGTTCCTAATAAGGCCGCCTTTTGCAATTGACTAATAGCGAATTTGTCAATGCCAATGGTGTTCAAGTGGTGCTCCAGTTGTTTTGGGATTGCACCCAAGGAGCCTATTACTATTGGTACTACCCTTGCTTGCTTTTGCCACAGTCTTTCTATTTCTATTTGTAGGTCTTTGTATTTTGTTATCTTCTCCAGTTCTTTCTCTTCTATTCTGCTATCTCCAGGCACTGCCACGTCCACTATCCAGACTTTTTTGTCTTTCTTATCGACAATTGTTAAGTCTGGGGTGTTATGTTGCAGGTGCTTGTCTGTTTGAATTCTGAAGTCCCAGAGCAGTTTAATTTTATCATTTTCTATGACTTTCTCTATTTTATGATCCCACCAGTTTTTGCTTACAGGCAAATGATATTTTTTGCAGATCTTCCAATGCACCATTGTTGCTACTTTGTCATGCCGCTGCTTGTAGTCAGTCTGTGCAATCTTCTTGCAATAGCTTACCAAGTGGTCCACTGTTTCTTCAGCTTCTTTGCATAGGCGGCACTTACTGTCTGTTGCTGTCTTCTCAATTTTGACTTTGTATGCATTTGTCCTTAAGGCTTGGTCTTGTGCAGCCAGAATTAGTCCCTCGGTCTCTTTCTTCAATTTTCCTGCTCTTAGCCATTGCCAGGTTTTATTATTATCTGCTTTCCCAGCTATTTTTTTCATGTATTGGCCATGTAGTGCTTTGTTTTCCCATGCCTCTATTCTGTTCTTCATTTGGTCTTTCTTGTAGGCCAGTTTGGTCTCTCCAGTAGTTAGTAAGCCTTCCTGATATACTAATTTCAGTGCATCTTCATCATTGTTCTCCAGATATTCTTCCAAAGCCATTTTTTCTTCTTCAACCATCTGATGTACTTGTAGCATTCCACGCCCACCTATTTGCCTTGGTAGATAAAGTCTATCAATGTCACTGCGTGGATGAAGGGCATGATTCATTGTCATTATTTTTCTGGTCTGCCTATCCATTGCTTTTAGTTCTGCTTGAGTCCAGTCCACTATTCCAGCTGTGTACCTAATGACTGGGATTGCCCAGGTGTTGATTGCCTTTATGGTATTTCCTCCATTGTTGTTGTTGTTGTTGTTGTTGTTGTTGTTATTATTATTATTATTATTATTATTATTATTATTATTATTATTATTATTAATTTGAATTGACACCCTCTGAATGTTTTTTTAAAAAATCTCACACAATGAATAATCACATTTTGAAGCTTTTATTTAAAGTTTTCCTATAAACTTTTCCCAGCATCAAGGACTTTTCATCTTTTGTTTGAAACTGGATAGCATTTTCCAAAAATCACAATTTGAGGGTTCTCCTGGACTCAATTCCTACTCAAAGAGCAGGTGGCAGCTGTCTCTAGGGAGGCCTTTACGTAGATTCATCTGTTGCACCACTGCACTCTTTTTCTTAACTGGGAATCTCTTCTCATAGTCACTAATGATTAGTCACTAGTGTCAATAATGACATAGTCACTAATGATATAATCATAGTCACCTCCCATTTGAACTACTGCAACGCACTCAATATAAGGATGCCCTCAAAGACCACTTGGAAACTACAGCTGGTCTAGAAGGCAGTAATGAAGGCAGAGACTGGTGTTCTAAATTCTCTCTGGTGTATGAGGTGCATCAGTTGGCAATTCAGCTTCCAGGTATAATTTATGTTGCAGTTTGTCACAAACAAAGTCTTACCAGGTTTAGGGCACAACTACTCTCATTATCTGGGTGACTGCCTTCCTCTCATTGTCTCTGCCTGTCCTCTAATATATGAAAGAGTGGACTGGCTGACTGGCTATACTCAGCGTGTGGGCCTCAATGGAACTGCATCTACATGGAGGAGTGTGTAGTGGGGTGTCCCAGGGCTCTGTTTTGGGCCCAGTGCTGTTCAATATTTTCATCCAATGATTTGGATGAGGGGATAGATGGGGAACTCATCAAATTTGTAGATGACACCAAGCTAGCAAGAATAGCCAACACTTCAGAAAACAGGCTTAAGATACAGAAGGATCTTGACAGACTTGAACATTGGGCGCTATCTAACAAAATTAAGTTCAATGGTGAAAAAAGTAAGGTTCTACATTTAGGCAAGAAAAATCAAGTGCACAGGTACAGTATAGGTAGTACCTTGCTCAATAGTAATCACTGAGAGAGGGATCTCAGAATCCTAGTGGACAATCACCACTGCAGCATCCAATGGTTACGATTTATGATTTTTCCTATCATCTTTCTGCAAGCACTGTCAATGGGGAAGCTTCTAGGAAGTCAAAAGTCACAGTCATGTGAAGCCCCCACTTTATGACCAACAGTGATTTGCTTCATAATGGTAATTGGGGACTATTGGAACTGCTCTTGCTATCAAATGATGTTGTATTTTATGACTGCATAATTTAGCAAAAAAAGGAAAAAAAATCCGGTCCCAATTAATGTTATTAAATGAGAATGACCAATACTAAAAGAAGTGAAATTCAATAATAGAGAGTAAAATAAATAAATAAATAAATAAATAAATACACAAAAAGATGGTAAGACCGAGACACTGGACAGGAAAGTAGTGAAGAGGTTTCACTCTATTTTGCTAAGCCCTGAGTGAAGAACCAGGTCTTCAAGGCCATTCAAAACACTAGCATTGGGTGGAGGACCTCTGGATCTCGGGGGACTATCAGTCTAGAAGCAAGACACTGGTACAGAGAAAGCATGCTTCCTGGGTCCTAACAGATGGCATTATTTAACTGAAGGAGCCTGGAGCAGATCAATCCTGATGAAACTAGCCAGGTAGATACTATGGGAGACAGGCAGTCCCTCAAGTAATCAAACTCTATACCAGGGGTCCTCAACCTCCGATCCATGGGCCATGACATGCCAGAAACCGGGCCACGCAAACAAGCGAAACCCCATCCATGGGATGCAGGCAGCACACAAAACAACACTCCTCCAGTCCATGGAAAAAACTTTCTCCATGGAACCGGTCCCTGATGCCCAAAAGGTTGGGGGCCACTGCTCTATGCCAGGGTCCCCCAACCGTGGCAACTTTAAGACCTGTGGACTTCAACTCCCAGAATTCCCCAGCCAGCGATGCTGGGAGTTGAAGTCCACAGGTCTTAAAGTTGCCAAGGTTGGGAAACCTTGCTCTACGCCATGTAGTGAAGTTATAGGTAACTACCAGCACCTTGAATCGCACCAGGATACAAACTCACAATCCATGGCAGCTCACAAAGCAGAGGTGTTACTGAGGTATTATTTACAAAGCTGAAGTGTTACTGAGGTATGTCCTTCACTGCATAAAGCAAGCAAGCAAGCAAGCAAGCAGTTTGTTTTAGGAGAGTTTTCTGAGAATGAGAAAGGGAAATGAAAAAAACTGCAGAAAGTGACTAAATTGGTCAGAAGGTGACTAAACTGCCTGGAAGGATGAGGTGGAGATTGCAAGGCTGCGAGAGGAGGCTGAAAGCAAGCAAGCAGAAAGGAAGCAAAAGGATGTAGGACAGAGACATGAGGGGTTTTGGGGGGGGGGTGGGTAGGGCTGGCGAGGAGAAAAGAGATGGAATACTTACCAATGGATGCTAATCTCATTTGCTTCATGTGAGCTTCTATGGCAGATGGGTCTCTAGAGCTATAAGGTCCAAGTTCTGGGTAGAAGCTTGATCCAATGTCTTCTGGAGGATTGTGCCTGCCTTTTGGATAACCACTTGCAATTTTTGGATCCCAATGGGTCAGTAATGGGTGGTTCCAATGAATATATTTTCCATCAAATTGTGGAGTCCCATACCAGCTGTAGTAAAATACATGGAAATTATAATTTGGAGGAGGTAGCTCTTCCATTTTTCTTACAGAAGTTGTAGATGTTTTGAGATTCACCGGTAGAGGGTGAACGCTTTTGGTCCGCGTGAAGCTGTCTTCTTTTGCTCCCTTATGCAGACTGAACTTCTTTTTTAAATGTGTGGTCTGTTGCTGAAAATCTGGTAACAGGCCAAGACCAAATGGATCTCCAAACCCAACTCTTTCTGGTCTCAGAGTTTTCAGTGCCATCATTATAGAGCAAATAAATAAAATAAAAAGCAGCAAAACGATGCATGTTCTCCTGCGAAATCTTGCCATGATATCATGGTAGTTCAGGACACCGGTAGGAAGTATCCAGCTGTTTGTGAACAAGAAAAAAAACATGACCATAGTTTTCAACCAACTAAAACAAATTCACACTAGCATGGTAGAATTATTTAATATTTATATATGACCTAAAAGTTCCTAAGCTCTGAATTACATCTTAACATAGGAAAAAATTGAACTGATTTATGTTGAGCCTATCATGTCATCTAGTTCAATACTATCAGTATTGATCACAGCACTCCAGTTCACTTTTTCATGTTATGATCCATTAATTCCATCAAAAAAATAAAATAAAATCAGAGTCTTCCCCAACCCCCATGATAGAAGCAAAAATAATACTTTTTGTAAGGAAGACATTAATATTACAGATGCAGCATGTTGAGTTTAATTATCTAATTATTCCTTCCAACTCTGTTTTATAATTTCGGGATATTAAGAAATTGCTATGTGAGATATTTTTACTGTTGACCTTAAAACATAAACTAAAATAATAATTCCATTAGAAGCGGAAAGGCAAAGCAAAAAGAAGTTAAGAAGGAGCTGACTTAGGGAGATATTTGTTGTTTTGCCAAAAAAAAAAAAAAAAAAAGCATTAAGGATGGAAAACAAGAAGACAAATGGTGCTTCTAGCTGTTGCTTGCAAAAGAAGCTAATAATACATGAAAGAACACAATCGGGGCTTAGGGTTACAAACAGAAAGATTGAAGGTAGTGATGTTTATAGTAGACAACAGCAGAGGGGCAATGGAGTAAAGCTCTTCCTCATTTTATCAGTCTCCATCCCTGGTCAGTCGGTCAGTCAGTCAGTCAGTCTTCCCTTGCTTCTTGCAGCTGCTTGCAAAGCTGTTCGACAAACTGTTCAAATGAGTATGTGAAAGGAACTGGAAGCTGTCATCTGAAATTGGAATAGTTCAAAGCCCTTCTCAAGCCCAAATAACTGGGAAATGCTTCCCACTGTTGAGAGGTGTATGCACTATCTCATCTACTTAAACAGTATCCCGTGGTACCTGAAAATGTCTCAGACTAATCTGCTAGGATGGGGTAATGAGGAGATGGGAGGCAAGGAAGTCTAGAAGTACAAATTCGGTGTTGTGCATTTTCAGTGCAAGCCCCGCTCCCTTTGTTTATGTGTCATGAAAGCCAGGGATCTTGTGGCACAGTGCAACAACATTTCCTTCATTATTCACCCATATGGGATCTTCTGCACACAAAGCAGCTGTTCTAATATTGAGACAAGGAACCCTTTATCTTTAAAAGATAAAACAGTCCCAATCTAGGACAATGTCTAACAGGTTGAAAGAAAAAGCAAAGAGAATAAGAAAAGAACACAAAAGTGAACACAGGCACGGTTCTTCATTGGCTAATGAAAGAAGGCAGGCTGGTCTTCTCTTTGCCATGTTCTCAATAAGTTTATTGCCTCCCATGATCTCCTAGCTGACATACCTCTTTTTATTTCTATAATCTAAAGTACCTCATTCAGATATAGAGATATAGATAGGAACGTCTTGATAAAACAGTGCATTTATTCAAGAGCAAAAAAGGTGCTAAGACTTGTTTTCAAACAATATATGCACTTTTTACAAGACACATCTTCGTATCTTTTATTCTGTTAATTAAAATTGACAGATAGAGATTATTCTTTAAATATTTGATCCTATCGAATCATTTTCCAACAAGAAAACAAACCTCAAATTTGGCTTAAATGGTGCATTGGGGAAAGTATATTAGATATATCCCCTCACCCAAATAATGATTTAGGAATACATCTGTGTCTCTGAAGCATGTGCTATTTGAATTTCTATCTTGACGCATAATTCTGCTTTCCCCATTATTAGCACTGTGAGGAATGAAGAGGATGGGAAAGTCAGAAACCATTTATGGGATGTGATTTCTCTGACAATAAGAACCACTGTAATACAAACATATACCCTTAGCTTGTCCCATCTACTAGTCTCAAAGGATTGGTATGCTCAAGTCAGTAGAAGAAGAAGAAAACATCTCTATTCTGGAACACATCTATTTTACTATCTGGATTGTACATGGAGATAAGATACAAAGGGATGAAGAATTTCCATACATTTGTCTATCCACCCATTTTATATTGCTACCCAACTAGTAATTTCAACTCTGGATGCCTAATGAGTTACAAACAAGTAAACAAATGAAAGCCACGACAAAACCCCAGAAGTCAAATGCAAAACATAACATGCCTAAGCCAACCACGATCAATCATTCTCTTAACCTTTAAAGAATGAGCTCATCTAAGACCCTGGACTAAGGCCTGGAGGACAAGCCAGGTTTTCAAAGCTTTATGAAAGGCTTGCAGGGCCAGACATATCTGAATTTCCTAGGGCAGAAGCTATGGCAAAGGAAGTACACCTTCTGGGTCCTCTTAGATGGCATGTTTTCATACAGCACACCCAAACCATGCCCGCTCTGTTGGATCTTATGGGATGAAGAGAAATAACCGGAGACAGATGATTCTATAATAACCTAGTCCTGGGTCATTAAGGACTTTGTAGCTGGAAATTAACACGTTGTATTGTATTTGGAAATCTATTGGGAGCTACTGCAGCTCATGAAGCACTAGTGTTATATGGGTGTAGTATGATACAACGTAAGTACTTACAGTTGTAGTTTTCAAGTGTTTTTTTTAAATCTCACCTTTATTATTTTTATAAATAGCTCAAGGCAGGAAACATACATAATACATATTCTTTCTCTTATATTCCCCGTAATAGCAATCCTGTGGATTGGACTGACAGGGGGACTGGCTCAAGATCACTCTGCCAGCTTTCATGCTAAAGCAGGATTAGAGCCCACAATCACCTGATTTCTAGGCCAACAGCTTAACCACTACATCAAACTGATTTTCAAGGGTAGATTTGTACAGAACATGTTGCAATAGTGCAAATGGGAGGTGATGAAGGCATGAAGGCTTATGAGCAGGGAGTCCTGATTAAGGAACTGGCACACAAACTGGATTTGGTCAAATGCCCTCCTGGCTACGGCCATGTATTCTTCCAACAGGAGCTGAGACTCCAAGAGAAACCCCAAATTATGCACTAATTCTGTCTTGGAGAGTAATAATATATATAGAATTTTAAGGACAATTTCTTCAGTTGGTTTACTTCTGTAATTCAACATTGTTCAGAAATCTGATTTTTGTTTAAATGTAACACTTTAATGATTGCTTACAGTATTAAAACTTATTCAACTGTAAAATAATTTGATCATTAAGCAATATAAATCAAAGTTTCAAATCTGTTGTTTCTTTTTTTCCAAATTAGTGTTTCACTGAGATTCAATGTTTTATGTATTTTTATGATAGTTACATTATTTTAAAGGTGTAATAAATAGCGTGGAAAAATATAAAACATAATGGACTGAATGTTGAGATAAAAGAGAATACTTATTCTTCACACAAAATAAGCAACATCAGTGATGTTAGATTTACATCTAAATATAACCTATTATCATGAAATATTTGTCACAAAAGTACATACTCTACAAAGAAAGGCAGAACATAACTCATTTATCTTTGACAATTTTACCTCTGCTAAAAGCAAGGAGAAATTAGATTAGATAAAGAGAAGTTGAATGTTTTCCATGTGTACTTTCTAAGCTAGTATAAACACAGGGGAATGGAGAAATAAGAGTTGTTATGGATGTTCAAAACATAAACATTTAATGATCAATCCCTAGTGATCTACCATTCAGTTTCAGGAAGGCTAGAAGTCAGCAAATCTGCCTAACTTGTGCTTTATTAAGTTCCAAAAGTTATGTAGCAGTCACAGTGACAAAATTGAAGCTAATATTGGGCCTCATTAACAGAATATCAGGTTTTCTTCATTTATTACATAATCTGCATTTACTCTCCATGTTCATCCAAAGCAGGTTTACAATATGTTACAAATATTGCAATATAAGGTCTTAGTTTTGAGATTATTACAGATCTCCCAATTCCCAGGCAACATAGTCAACAAAAATGTAACTAAGGAAGTGAATGCAATATGTATGTAGAAAATAAAAAATGATAATTTGAATATGTAGAATAACAAGGTTAACTCTGAGATCTTCCACTAACATTATAGCTTTCACCAGCAGAACATAATAAATAATTCGTCTGCTTCAGAGGATTGAGGGAAGCAATGTTATGCAGAAGAAAAATACTGGAAGAGTAACTTTATGCAATAATACAAATTCAAACAGACATTTTAGATATATAAATTTATATATCATATATATAAATGTTGGATCCTGCAACATTTTAGATATGATATAAAATGTTATTTTATCAGATAAGCTTCATCAGTGATATATTAAACTCATCTAAGATATTATGCCTCAATGATCTTCTGTAACATGTACAATGTAATAACTAGCATAATGAACACCTCTAAAATTTATGAACAGAAAAAAAAATCTCATATTGCTCTTAGCTGGCATGGCAACTGCAAGAAATAAAATGAATTAAAAATTTCCTGTCTTCCCACAGCCCCTGAGCTTGGCCTACCAATGTCTAGCCAGATGGGTATTCTGGAATATGAACAGTGAAATCTTGATTGCTCCAGAATGAATACAAGACCCCAAAATTATAGTGCCTTGCAATTAGCTAATGGTTAAGGAGTAAATTCTTTACCGAGGGCTGGGCAAATGCCTACATTTTATTCATTGGTGTAATTGATTAATTAATTAAAATGATAATTTTCATTAGAATCATATAGCATTTTGGATTCCAAGGCAAAATAGTGCTTTGAAGTGGTATTGTCTACCACTTCTTAAAGCAGTTGTATGTTGCGCTGAGGTCATGAGGCTGCAGCTGCCCCACAAATCCATGAAAATATGCCTAACATAAGGACTTGCACTTTGATGCTATTGTAAGAGAAGAACCTGTTATGGTGGCAAAAAATAAATAAGCATACAATATAAAATGTGCTAGAGGAGAAGGGACGTATCAGACTGATTCTACATGAATATCCCTGTCTTTTCTGAAGCACCTTTTTGTCTTGAAATCTAAAATGTTGCATAGCCCTAATCTCTACCACACTTTTCTGATGCTCATGAGACACATATCAAGTGTTTAAAAGGCCAGGAGATCTTTTGATACAAAGCTAGACATAATCAAGGTTGGGTCCCAATCGTGCTCTCATGTTGGGAAATTGACCTTGGCTGATCTTGAAAAGCACTTCTTCAAGTTCAGCTGCCTTTGGAAACAGTGAAATGCATTGGTCATTATTAGTAGATGAAAGGGAGACCACTAAGAAATCCTAGGCTATAGGACAGAACTGGAAGTCCAGAAGAATACCCAGGAAGAAGATAAGGGCAAAAAGCCTTTCTTATGAAGAAATTCAGGAAGTCATCAAGAACAGAGCAGGATTTGAGAGACTTGATCTTACCTCTCCAGATAACTCTGGCCCCGACACACACAACACTGATATTCACGTAATCACCCAAGCTGAGTAACCGATATCTGGCCTAATTATTTCTCGGCACAGCCAGCCCAAAGGCGCCTGTTTGCTGCTTTTAATAGCTCTGCACCTGACCGAGGACCCCTTCACTCGAGATACCCGCAGGGGCTGCACAGGCGGAGGTTGGGGCGCTCCCTCTCCGCAACGGATGGGCAGAGAGGGATCTATCCTCCCCCCGAGGACTCCCCGCCCCCTCTGTTATCCCTAGGCAAACGGGCTAACGGGAAGACCGCAGGAGAGGAGGCGGCGGAGGCATCCGCAGCAACAGGAACAAGCGCTACCCCTCGCGCCTTTCGCCTTGCTACTCACCCGTCTGCAGAACCGGACTGAAAAGTTCAAGCAAGGATTCGAAAGAAGGGGAGGGGAGCGGAGGAGGAGGGGGGATTTAAAATGGACCGATCGTGGGGGAAAGACAGGCTCAGGGTTACCAGCCTCCTTTCGGAATTGGCCCCCCCTAGCTTGAGGTTGTCCTCTCCATCGGAGCATGCGCAGTTCCCAAGGTAGAAGGCACGTTGCCCTTAACTCCAGGAAAACAGTAAAGTTACTCTGATCACGCCTCTCTTTCTGTAGCACAACCGAACTATCTTTAGGCTGTTTCTTGTCCGGAAGCGTTAGGGCTCGGTTTGAGTTCGCAAGCGTGAGAATTTAATTTTCTCGCCAAGCGTCCATTCGCGGGTATCTTGATAAAGTGCTCAGAAGTCCACTGTGGCTTTTTACCTCCATGGAAACGCGAAGATGTCATCTTCACTACTCATTGTTATCCATTCTTGCAGAGAAAAAACTCGCAAGCTGTGACATTCCTTACTTTTATTCCTATGCCGAGTGCGAGTCCACGTGTGTTGGACTTTGACTCCATTCTTAGCTTTTTAGCTGCAGTGGAGTTGAGATCGTACATATCTGGTAGGTGTTGCATTAAAGAAAGAGAAGTATTTTTTTTTTTTTTTTTTGGTTTCAAGACTATCTGTTACAGAATACATTATGGGCTTTTTCTGAAACAAATCGAAGCACAGTAAATAACGAACTCCAAAAATAAATCTAATTATTAGACTATTTGACAGAAAGAATGATACTAAGATCTGTTCTTATGGACTGTACATCTGCCGTAACCTATTTGCTGAATTTGGCTATTGTATTTATCAAAATAGTAGTGAACATTAATACGTATTTCTGTACGTTGTTTCTGAGATTAATCAAGGGGCCAATATAATGTAGCAAAAATGAATTTGAGAGATCTCCCCTGAATTAAAGTTTAAATCACAGATTAGGGCAAATGCACCCTCTTTTGCAATCAGTTGGTGCCTTGTGATGAAATAAGAATGGAGTAGATTGTAATGGGCTGTGAGACATGAGGATCTACAAATACAATACAATGGAGCATAAAATGAATAAAGCACCCAAAAAAGTTTGAGCTGTTCATGTTTCTAGTATCTCAGGCAAAAGATTGCAGAAAAACAAAAAACAAAATAACCCCCCACCCCACCACCACTGAAATCAGGAAAGAATGCAGAGTTTGGTTTCTGCAATTACTACAGTACAGTAGTTTCTGAATCATCAGATGGGGAGGAAAAGGGAGGAGGCTTAGAATGGAGGAGTTGGCAACATTCCAATTTTTTGCTCAATTGCCTCTCCCAGTGGGATATTAGGGGCATCAAAAGCAAAATCACTGCTTTTTTTTCCAGCATTCTTTCCCCCTTTTCTCCTTTTTTCTCTTTTCTGATCTCTGTTTCTATTTGTAGTTTATATTATAATAAATTTTAATAAACCAAGTTGCTCAGACAAATCTTTCCCATCCACATGCCCTCCCACAGCCCTTTGTGCTCACACCACCACGCACCCTCACTTATACACGTGCACTGCACTCTCAGGCACTATACCTGACCCCCCCCCCATCCATTCTCCTCAACCTGCACTGCAACCTCAAACACTCTCCCTGACCTCCCCATACCTCTCACACATCCCAAGTACCTCCCAACCCCCACCGCATCATCCCCGACTTGTGCTGCACTTCTCATGCACTCTTGTGCACCTTGCCCGATCCATATCATACCTCTCATGCATCCCTACACGCTCTTTTCAACCTTCACAACACCTCTCATACAATTTCTCACAGCCTTGCACACCCTCCTTGACCTATACGTGCCTTCCATGCACCCCCATGTACCCCTTGCTCCCTCCTCACCTGCCACAGCTTACCTAACTTCTGGCCTGGGGCTTGCAACTTCCTGCTGGCTTCCCCATTGACTCTGATTTAGGAAGTTGTCTCACCTAAAGACAGTGGCACTCTGTTAACAATGGCAACTAGGATTGCAGGATTTGCTGTTGCTAAGCAATATGGAAATTCTGATCCCAATTGCATCGTAAGTCAAGGACTACCTGTACAACGTCTAAATCACTTCTTATTCATTGCTAAAATTTTACACGGGTTTAATATTTAGGCCTCCAAAATGGGATTTTTGGGGTGTGTGTGTGTTAGAAACAATACTATATTATAATCTTGTATTTGTCCATTAAAAGTTTTGCCTCAGAATGGATTCTGGATTTGTTTTAATGATTACCAAGTGCACTTTTTGCATAACTTCAGCAACAATCATGTTACAAGAATAGTTTATATATCATTTGAAGGTGTGACTTTGAGAATTCTTACTTTTCCACTGTTAGCTAACTTTATTACATCCAGGTTCTGTCATCTCTTTTTACCATTTTTTACTTGTAAAATTATCTTTAACTTTGTTTCATTACCTTGTGGTTTTTAACCTCTCATACTGTGCATCCAGCAAGCTGTGTTTCTGTCTAGTGTCGAAATCTTGCCATGAAGAAACTTTACTTTTGTGCAAAAATTTAACATCTATAAAACATTCACTGTGATTTATTTGATGTATCAATTTTATGTGCTGTTTCTATCATTGGTGCAATGCTACCATCTACTTTTAACACCTGAGTTGGCCAGCTGATAATAAATGATTCTACATTAAGTCTAGCACATTTTTCAGTAAAACCTTGAACTGTTATATCTCTGACTGCTTTCCAGATCCACGATTTTATGGCTCAAATCAATTTCATTTTTATGTCAACTCACTTCCTCCCAGAGTATTATTCTCAGCATTATTACTTACTCAGCCATGGTTGCTGAATCATTTAGTTTATCTCCAATAGCTTTAAATTCTTGTTGAAGAATTTTCTTTTTCAGAATTAAGTGCTGCTGGCTATATTTTATTTCTCTCATTCAGAATAAATGATCTAATTCAGCTGCATTCACACATTAAGTTGCTTTGATTGCTGTCCATTCTTCTGTCTTCTCAGTGGCCTCAGAAATTAAAAACTGTGATAATGAGAGATCAGTTAATATCTTCAAATTGGCTGAGTGGGTCAGATCAGAACTTTCCTTTGTAGAATGCAAATTCAGTTCAAGAAGCTTAATTTACTTAATTTATAAGGCTGCCTAATTCAACATGACTGGACAGTGTGCAAATTTAAAAGCAGATAGAACACTTAACAAAAGAGATGGTAAATGACATAGAAAAATTAAACTTATTTCCATAGCATCATTCAAAAAGGATCCATCATTCATATTACCCAAGAGCCAGGTTTTAAGAACTTTTTAAAAATAGGATCAGTTTGGGAGCCATGCACTTCTTAAGATGGTAGGAGTGATGACAGAAGAGGCATGCTTCCTCTGGATGGTAGGAGTGATGACAGAAGAGGCATCCTTCCAAGTTCCATCAGATCACATTATATTATCAATGGGACTAGAACATACTGATCCTGTACAGTAAAGATTGAATAGAATGGACAGATACTATGGGAGATAGATCAAGTAGTTAGATCTTATGTCATTAAGGTTATAACCAGCACATTGACTTATACCTGTAAAGTTACTGGTAACCAATGCACTTCCCAAAGCAGAGTGTTATGTAGGCATCTGAAAGCTTGTCAATAATTGTTTGGCCTGCCACATACTGAATCAGTTTCAGCATTGAACATTTTTCATGTAAAAGCATTTAAGTAGTCCAATAGAAAGAGAGGTAACTTTTTCAAACCATTGTGTAATTGAGCATGCATCCTTTTAATCTTATAACATAGTCTTTAGATTTGTAATCATAAGAGCACCCAATATTCATTTCTCTTTTTCTGTCTGCTAATTTCAGAACCAATAATATATAATTCAGAATAGCACCAGTCCATATTGATTGCAATCCAAGTGCATTTTAAGTAATTAATTGGAATTATCAGTTTCTTCCTATAAAACATAGAAGCATTCAACATTTGCAATAAAATACTGTATTTTTATTGTAATGGCAATTTTACCTCCATATAGATGCCAATGAACATCCATTTACAGTCTTTTTCCAAAGTTTCCAATTTTTTTGCTTAATAACTAATTTAGTATTTAATATTTGTTTATAAATATTTATCATAGATTCCTAGTTTGTAAAGAATGTATTAAATCCTGTGGTATTGAAAAGGGTTCTGATATTTATACTCATAATCTAATCCAATTTATTAGAATACAGTCTCTTGTCTATTTAGTTTCTCCTAATTTCAAGTTTGAGTCAACCAATGGTAATTTATCACTAGGAACATACTGGGGCAGATTTGCTATTGTACATCATTCCTCCATAGCAGCTAATTCCATTTTTTATGAAGTAACTGAATTTTAATACTCTCTAACTTAATGAAACTAAGCTTCAGTAGTTATGCCTTCATTAAGGTAAGAAACCTTTGCCATAACTGCTCTGACAGTTAAGGCTTTCTGATAGAAGACTGAAGGGAATTTCCCCAAATTAATTCTGAATCAGTGAAGTAAATTTCTGAAAATATGTTTTAGGCCTCTATTTCTGAAGTATTCATTTTATCTTACATTCTTAGTTTAAGTGAGCCACTTATATCCAAATGTGTTATTATTGAATTTAGATTTGGTTTAATCATCAGACATATTCCTTGAGATATTCTCAGTCCAAGAGAAATTGTCTCTGCAGCAACCCAGAACAGCAGAAAAAGGAAATGGAGCATCTATACAACATATTCCAACAAAATGGGTATCTACGCAACTTTATCAAAAAGGGCCTGACCGCTCAACCCAATACAGCACAACCAACACAAAACCCTAAAAAATTACACTGCCATACATCAAGAATATCTCAGAAATCACCAACAGACTTCTACAAGTATATAGAATCAGCATAGCACACAGGCCAATTAAAGCCAGTGGTGGGATTCAAATATGTGAACAATTGATTCTCTCTATGGATGCCGCTTCTGGAAGTCCGTTATGCGCCTGGGCAACAAAAAATTAGC